AGAAGGCTGTACACCATGGTGCAACACCTTTGTGTGGGGCGACGACATGGTCACGTTTGCACCGATTGACGCGGTGTACGGGCTCAAGCAGGCGATAGATACTCCTGATAGTGAGTCGTGGATGGCTCGTGGTGGCTAGGTGGTTGGGGGGGCACGATTGGTGATTGTGGACTCTCGGCACGGCGTGGGCGGCCGGGATCATCGACGGCACGGCAACACCTTTGTGTGGGGCGACGATATGGACGAGTGCTGCCCAACTCTGAACCCTGGAACCCCTCTCTGTTTTCCTTGCCTGCCCTCTGCTTTTTCCCAATTCTCCAGTCCGCCTGGCCACAGCAGGAACAGCCATGCTGCACCGCATCGGCCGGGGAATGAATCCTCTCAAAGTCAAGAAGGGCTTGACTCCAAGAGGCCAGGTTCCAAGAGGTCGCTGGAGGAGCGGCAGGAGGAGGCAGTGGCGGACAAGGAGGTTGAGCGCACCGTGCTGGCAACTCTGAACCCCAAACCCCTGAACCCCTTCCTCTTTTCCTTTGTTTCTTTTCCCCTCCACTTCTGCCCAAATCTCCAGTCCGCCTGGCCACAGCAGGAACAGCCATGCTGCACCGCATCGGGCGGGGCATGAACCCTCTCAAAGTCAAAAAGGGCTTTGAGGGGGCAAAGAGATCCCTCGAGGAGCGGCAGGAGGAGGCAGTGGCGGAGAAGGAGGTTGAGCGCACCGTGCTGCGCAACCACGGGGGCGCGTGGCCGGGCAACCAGGCACCCGCGCACGCGCTCTTCCTGTGGGCCAGTGGTGGAGAGCTCACTAAAGTGCTCGACCAGAAGCCCAAGAGGTTTCCCAGCAAGTTCATCTCCTACGAGCAGAGGTGAGTCGAGGCCATCTCTGTTTGCTTGAGGGAGTCCCCCTGCTCTCCCACCCCCTCCTCCCCTTTTCCCCCTTGCCTACTTCCTTCTTTTCTGTGTGTCATATCGCGTTCCCCATTCCTCATTGTTTACCCCAACAGGAAGAAGCTGGCGCAGCGCATCCCTGGCCTGCGCCCGTGGGAGGTGCTGGAGGTGGAGCAGCTCTTCAACTTCCTCACCTTCCGCGACGACTTCTGGCGCAGCAAGCTTGGCACCTTTGCCACTCCCCCCGAGAATTCCGAGGCTTATGATGAGGAGATGATGGAGGAATGGGGAGAGATTAAGGATGCCCTATCAGGGGCTTTTCCTGAGCTGACCAGGTGATGATGCATGCATGCTATCTGATGGACAACCTCTGTATTTGGGCCTTGGAAGGTACTAAAACTAGTCATACAGGGGTTGATCAGTGCCCATACGTGTTTTTCCTTGATATAATGGTATTACTGTGGAATCATGGTTGGTTTTTCTTTATTCAACAAGGCTGTTTTTGGGAAGGTGGACTAGCAAGGTGCATAACACATGATTGGCGCCATTTGTATTCTTGCTGTGGAAGTAATTCTCTAATGGACATTGTTTTGAGGCGAAGTGTTTTCGAAATTGCTCAGGTGTTTTCTGAGGTCTCAGCGAAACTCAGGTGTCGGTGGTGAATCGCATTCGGATCGCCCACGATGGCATTGTGACCGCATGAGCGAGAGCTCCATGCTTTCTAGTGGTCGCCAACGTGAGCTAGAAACAAGTCGAATCGGATGCGTCCGCGTAGGACCAATCATCGCCAAGCGTTTCGTCGAGAATACGCCCCCATTGGATGCGCGACTGAGCGACCTCTGACCAGGACGTGATCCCGACTCGCGACCATGCACATTCAATTCCGTGCATTTGCGGCTCGGTTCCCGTGCAAGCAACTCGAATTGTTGAATGTCATTGGTAAAGTCCGAGATGGGAATGGCTGGGTAGCATTGAACGTGATTGCCCCTTCCGTACCTCTCGGCTGCGTTGTTGGTGCTGGCCTCAGCTGCCGCCCCAAGCTTGTTCCCGTATCTCCCAAGCATGTGCTGGCACCCCGCAGTGCTTATCCCTTCTTCTGGCGTTGTACTTTTATATGGTTATAACGCAGTGCTAAACTTATCAAGCGCCGTTAGGGTCCTGCGCCTGTTTGCTCACAAGTCCTCCCTCCTCCACCATAGTCGTTAGGGCCTCCGTTCCTTCCCCCCCAAAATGGGAGCCTCGATCCGTCCCGCGCATTCTCTCCTGCTGGGCATCCTGTTTTGTTTCGCGGTTTCCGTAGCATTCGCCGACGATACGCAAGTAGAAACCGCATTCATTCTTTGCGACGAATTCGGCGATCATGTGGCAGCAGCAGCTGCGGCTCACAACATCTCCGTCTGCGCCTTCGTGCTCCAAGGCGAGCCCGTGGACTTTGACCTCACCCCCGCTGCGACGACCAGTGCCCCTGCGATCGCCGGCGATGAGTCGTCGCTTCGGCGACACTTGCTGGGCGGCGGTGCGACGCCTGTTGCGATCCAGCTGGCGCAGGGTCTTGTCGGCAAGACCGGGGAAGTCCGAACGCAGGTGACCGCGGGAACGTGGGAGACAGTTGGCACGATCCTCGTCAGCGTCCTCACTGAGGTGCGTTTAATTAGACCGTATTTGAATCCTATAACGCGTATGCATGATCTTTCGAACGTGGCTCAAGGTATTATGGATCATCAGAAATACAGAACTCGGGAAACCTGGATACCATAACGTGACATTGCATGAGGTGTAATACTCGTTTTGTCCCATGAAACATGCGGCTTATCTCGTTTCCATTTCCTCCCCAAACTCGTTCATGTTTTCCAGTCTCAACTCATCAGCAGGAGCCTGGTGTGGGCGATTAAAGACATGTACGACACGTGGCGCACGCGCCCGCAATCCGTGCAAAACCTCCAGGACGCGATTCGCAACGTGAATCGCGCGCACTCCAACCAGCAGACCCTGCTCTCAGTGCTGAATAAGAACCCGCAGACGAAGAAATCGAAGCAGCTGTCGTCCATTCGCGATACAGTCGCATCCATGACCCCCACGTTCACGCAGCTGCTCTCTCTGCTCGCCACGTGGCGCCGGCAGAATCTTCACGCTGTCACGCGTCTGCACTTCACTGCCGAATCTGCCGGCCTCGCCGTCGCGCAGGCCGAGCCGGCCGGGCCGGCAGGGGGGCCCAGCGAGCCGAGGCTCGCAGCGACTCTTAACCATAAGAGCAAGAAGGACAAGAACAACAATGACAACAACGACAGCAACAACAACAATAATAACAACGACAAGAAGTCTAAGAAGGGCTCCTCCGGTGGCTCTAGTTCGAATTCTGGCGGCAAGGGCAAGAAGAAGGGCCAGAAGGCCAAGGTTGGCGCGACGCAGGCGATCAACGTGGTTGTAGCCGCAGACGGCAGCGGCGATTATAAATCGATTCAGGATGCGGTGGACGCGGCTGGCCCCGGCTCGACAATTCGCATCAGGGCGGGAGTTTACAACGAGCAGGTGCAAGTGAGCACGGATAGAATCACGATGATTGGCGCGGGCATGGATCAGACGGTGATTACGAACGACGCCAGCCAGAAGACCGGCTACGATATTATCACCTCCGCTACAGTTGGTAAGGATGCGTTCGCGCGAATTTTCCTGGCTCCGGCTGCCTTCACGCGCAAATTTTTAGCCCACTTTTCTACCGCAATCAATAAGCAAGGGTACGCTTATATTTTACCCGTCAGCTATTCGTTGCTGAGCTTCCCTTTTCGCTCATGTGCCACGTGGCAGGCGTCAACGCGGACAATTTCGTGGCGATGAGCATGACAATTCGCAACACAGCTGGCATCGACGGTCAGCAGGCCGTCGCGCTTCGCGTCGACAGCGACCAAGCCGCATTTTACCAGCTCCGGATATCCGCGTTTCAAGACACTCTGTTTGCCAGCACGGGCCGTCAATACTACACCCGCTGTTTCATCGACGGCGCCGTAGATTTCGTGTTCGGCGACGCGGCGGTTGTGATTCGTAACTCGCAGCTGAAGGTCCAGATGTCGCCGTACGACACGACGATCACGGCGTCGGGTCGCCTGAGCAAGTCGTCCAACACCGGGATTGTGGTTATGGACAGTCGCGTGGTGTCGTTCGCGCCGCGCGTGTTCCTCGGTCGGCCGTGGAAGGACTATGCGACGTCGGTGTTTATCAACGTTTGGCTAACGAATGTAAGTGTGTCGGCCCTAGTGTTTTCACGGTGCCAATCGAGCTTGAAGTCTCTCTCGTGTTCTCTTTCACACCAGAGTTCCTTCCTCGCTTCCTCGTGCATCCATGCCTCCCTCCCAACCCGTTTGCTTCTCTTATGTTGTGGAGCTCGTCTTCTGTTCTGCTCTCTTCCCTTGCCCTCCCTCTTCCTCTCTCCTACCACCCACCCCACCCTCCCTCCCTCTCCCATTCCCCCTTACTCCCCTCTCCTCCCCACTCCCCCCTCCTCTCTTCCCCCCACCTCCCCCTTTGCCGTGCGCAGAAAGTCGTTGCTGACGGCTGGATGACGTGGGCGGGCCAGACGTACGGCGGAAAGCCGTTTCTCGCGGAAGTCAACAGCAAGGGGCCGGGCGCCCAGCCTTCGCGCGTCAAATGGGCCAAGCCCGGAATTGCGTCATCCAGTGACGTCAGCCAATACAACCCTAATGCTTTCATCCAACTCAACTCGTGGATCGGCTCCACCAAAATTCCCGTCTCCTAGTGTTTGATGCATCCTCGTTTCAGAGCTGCCTCGCTAGGCGATAAGTACGGACTACGAGTTATATTACCCTCCGCGCGACTATGGCGGAGGCGTGAGTTGGTGGAAGGTGGGGGGGTGGTGGGTCGGGGGAAATGCGGACACGCCAAAGGGCTGACTACAGCGGAGTCGTTTGCGGGCACATTTGGGGAATCCGTTTTGGGCACATTCACTTGGCGCGACGCTTTCTTGTAGCTTTATTAGGAGATGGTACCCTTTACAAAGGAAATAAAATTTTTTTCTGGCGCTACTCTCTTGGGATAGATACTACCCTGCTCTTGGACTGGCCGTACCGAGGTTCCTACTTGGCTGGAGTTTATTAATTTTCATATTCTACTCATCAATTTACAGGTGCATGTTGTTTACAGCACTCGTCTTATATAGCCTAGACTACAAAAACCAGCTCAATATTTAAGGGTACTAGACAAGAAGATCTACAATCTATGTTTTGATTGGTTCAAGCCGCACTGAGCTAACTGCTGGGCTGCCTTGACACCTCGAATCCTCTCCAGAACTGCCAGCCTGGCAGGCTTGAAACAGCCTCATCAGATCCGCCACCCTGTCAGCCCGGAGCTGAGTCAGCAGCGAGGGGGGGAGGGCAGGAGGGGTAGCGCTGGCGGGTCGTGGTGATTGGGTGGCTGGTTTTCGCGGACGGGCAGACAGGGCACGAGATAGTGTAGGACGGAGGGGGGTGGGGTTGGTGGGGTCTTGAGAGTCGGTGGAGGAGGTGGAGATATGGGGGGGGGAGGAGAGGGGGTGGAGAGGTTGGGATGAACTGCAGTGTTGGTGGGTGCTTGGAGGGTGGGCATGGCGGTGGTGTGGTTGGGATCATCTGTGTCCTCCGCACAGCAAGACTGGTCCCGTTGATCTGGCTGACAGGACTGACTGGGTTGACTGGGTTGACTGGGTTGACTGCCTTGATGTGGTGTAGTTGATTGTTTCGGTTGACTTGATGGAGGTGGCTGACAACATTGGTTTGCCTGCCACGGTTGCGAGTGCAGAATACTCGGACTGCTCATGCCCCCGATAGGTGAATTCTTCACAGCCACATTCGCTGCACTCACGCTCCCAGCAGCAACACTTCCTCCAGTGCTGCTGCAATCCACTCCAGTCCACGGCAGAAACGAGCCCATCTGCTTCTCAGTACTGATCAGGGGAAGCTCGCTGCTGGGAGCTGCCGGATGGTATGCGCTGCATGCTGCTGCTGCTGGTGCCGGTTCCATAGCAGCTGTACCACCGCTGCTGCTGCTGCTGCTGCTGGTGTTGATACCAGCACTGCCCGTGATACCGTTCGTCCCAAAGCGTCGTGATTCTGCCCTTAGTTCAGTCTTATGCTCTTCTCGCTCCCCTCTCCCTACTCTTCCCACTCTCTCCACCGTCTCAAACCACGGATGCGAAAGTATCTCGCAAGATCTTATCCTCCTCCCCGGCTCCTTCTCCAGCATCCGCCGAACCAGATCCTTAGCCTCGGTAGAAACTCCGCCCCACAGCTCCGGCGAGCTCAGGTCCGGCGCCGCCTGGCACGCCGCAGCAAACACGGCGTTGTGGTTCGGGCCGTGGAATGGAAGCTTCCCGGAAAGGCACGTGTAGAGGATGATCCCAAGGCTCCACACGTCCACCTGGTGGTTGTACAGATGACCTTTCACGACCTCAGGAGCCAGGTAGAAAGGGCTGCCAACTAGCCCTGTCAGGTGCTCGCCAGGGGCCAGTCGCCTCGCTAGCCCGAAATCGGCGATCCGAAGGTGGAGTTCTGAAAAGGTGCTGAAGGTGGAATGCCCATGAGCATCCCCTGGGAAAGGCCGGGCGAGGAGAATGTTTTCAGGCTTTAAGTCCCGGTGCACCACCCCCACGGCGTGCATCCACGCCAGCGTGGCAGCCAGTTGGCCCACAACAGCGGCTGCCAGCTGTTCCGGCATGCCTGCTGAGTCAGCATGCCGGTCAACGAGGTCAAACAGGTCTCCTCCGCTGCAGTGGTCCATGACCAGGTGCACGCCCCAGCTGTCCTCGTACACTGAATGTAGACGCACCAGCCTCTCCCAGGGGGCATGCTGCTTGCTGTGAGGCTCTGGGTTCTGCCCATCCTGCCCCTCCTCCTGGGCTGAAGTGACACTGCCCTCGCCATCTTCTTTTTCACTTGCCGCCTCTTCGTCTTCTGCAGCTCCAGCCACTTCTCCCGCCACCTCCTCTTCTTCCGCCGCTTCCTCCTCTTCCGCCGACTGCTGCAGCAGCAGCGGCGTCAGCGCCTCGGCTCGGAGCTCCTCAAGTTCCCTCGGGCCCTGACGGGACACGACGAGGCAAGGAGGGGAGCAAGGAATGGATTGACAGCGTGAGAAGTGGAATAATCTTTGACGAACCATACATGGAGTTTTGTTTTGTTTTTGTTTGTTTGTTTGTCATTAAAAAAAAAAAGAAAAAAAAGGAGGAGACAAGAATGGCGCCACACCTGGAGCAACACTTTGCTGATCGTCTTGCAGGCAAACGTCTCGCCGCTCCTCCTCTCCCAGCACTCCCGCACCACGCCGAAATGCCCGCGCCCAAGCTCCCTCCCAACCTCGAACCGACCCTCCAGCCTCGGCCCGAAGCTGCTGCTGACGAGCCACGGTTCCCGCCAGCCTGGCGGGCAGTACCGGTCGATCTGTTGGTTCGGCGCGCCGCGGCTGCAACCCGAACCTTGGTAAAACCGCGGCGATTGAGCGGCGAGGCGGCATCGCTCTTCCAATTGGTCGAGAAGCATGCTGACGTGGCAGCGGGTGGTCGCGGCGCTCGGGAAGTCGATTCGGGACCGCCGGTTCGCCAGGGCCGGCCTAACGGGACCACGACGATGGTGTCGATTCGGATTCGCATTCGGTTTGGGATTGGGATTGGGATAATTGCTAGTACTAGCAGAAGCAGAGTCGGACTCTGCCACGCTACTGCTACAGTCGGGCCCCTCGGCCATCATGGTGCTTCCCCGCGCCGCAGCCGTTGAATCGTTCTCGAAATAACTCCCGCTGTCGAGGTGACGATGATGATGACTCGCGAGGATTTGGGAGGCCATAACGTCGCGTCGCAAAATAGAGAGGTTATTAATCACGTTTTCCGTAGCCTGCTTAGCCACGAGGAGCCTAGTGAAGACTCAAAAGCTAGCTAGTAGTGACTGCAACAGGGTTTCCAAAGTACTGCCGCATAGCGAAGGCGGATGGACGACTGCTTTTCAGGCGGCTCGAAAGTAGGCTCGATATGATCCGGACGGCGACTGCTGCAGTGTGGTCCACGGAATCAGGCTAGTAGCGCCTCTCATGTAGAACACGCCTACGATGTACTACTTCGCATGCGGAAGGGATTTTTGAGGCGCCTCAAAAGTCGTCTACTTCGCATGCGGAAGGGATTTTTGAGGCACCTCAAAAGTCGTCTACGTCGCATGCGGAAGGGGTTCATGCATTGGTAAAAAATGTGCTATTGGGAAAGAAAGCGGGGCTAGACGTGACAAGACGAGCGAGTGAGAGAAACGAGAGGACGGGACTGGAGAGGGCTCCGGCATTCGTGGGAGAGGAAGAGAGTCCGAAACACCTCTACGTTACGTACTGCTGGCCGACGACTGTCCGGCGAGAGAGCGCGAAAACGACCGTCGGCGGGCCGTTTGCGGATGACCGTGCATTGGAAGGAAACCGAATGCAGTCAGACTCTTGGAAGACACTGGGATGGCTGGGAGGGATGAAGTCTGGGAGGGGAAAGGCGAGGCTGTGTCGCGAATTTGTTTTACCAGGCGTGCACTTCGTTCTTCGTTGAGGCGCACTCACGGACTGTGGAAGAGGCACCGTCAATGCATTTGTAACAAGGGAGTTGCTGCAGCAGCGCACGAAAAAGCCAGACCATGGAGGTTTCAGGAATGGAATGGGAAGGGTGGGGAGAAGGGAGTCGCACTTTGGCGGACTCGCTGCTTTTCCGCTGGTCTGAGATTTCCGTGAGGCGCGGGATGGGAGCGGAGAGTGGGGAGGGATGCGGGGGGCGGGGCGGGGGGAGGCTGAGCTTTCGTTGCTTGCCCCCCTATTCGTACTGTGCAGTACAGTAGGGGCGTGGACGTAAACAACCGGCGGAGAATCCCGCAGATGCGCTGCGGGTTCGCTTGCGCCTGTGACTGGCCCTGGGCTGGCTGGTTGGGCCTGGAAGGGGTTTGTTGGGTGGGGTGGGGGGGGGGGGGGGGGAGAGGGTATGTGGGCATGCGAGGAATTTCCGCATGCTGCTTGGCGCATGGAAGAATTTCGGGGAAGGGGGGCAGGAATTGCGACAAAGGATGGCGAAAATTCTGGCCTTTCGCATCTGCTCTGCGCGCAAGTGGTTCCCCCAGCCAGAGTCGTGTCGTGTGCCTTTCGAGCGAGTTTCAGGTGACGCGGCGCGGCGGGCGGGTCAACTCAACAGCAGCAGCAGGAAGAGCGGTTGTGTTGCGGAGTGGAGGAAAGGAAAAAAGGCAAGGGGATTGAGCTGTGGAGCAAAGCTCGGCAGTTACGAAGGGAGGTGGAGGGGAATTGGCGGAGTTGATTGCGCAAGCGGTTTCACGAGGCCACGCGCCACGCGGGGGCCAGAGAAAGTGCTAGGAAGAAGCGGCGATTGATTTCCTCGCATTCAGGGCAATGCAGAAATATCTGGGCTGCCTACTGGATTGGTCCAATTGAAATATAGCTGGTACAGTTTCACCGATTCGAGGTATTTCAGTGTCGATGTTTTGAGGCTTGAAAATATGGTCCGTTTGGGCTGACCCTTCCTGAACGGGCAGGTGTGGTGTGGACCCAGTCAGCTTGCGATCTCTACGCCCAAAGCAGATTGGCGACTGGTCTGGAAAACTCGCCTGTGGGTGGACGGACACGCCGTGGAGTCGTTGACCACCTAGCCAGACCCTCAAACGCAGGTCGGTGGAGAAAGAATTGGACCTGGTCAAAAATACGCGCTGTAGGCAAAGGTGGATGCGGACTTGATGGCGTCGAGCTGAGACTCTGTCCTGTATCAATTTCAACTTCCGTATTTGGCGTGTCCTCAATACGAGATGGTTCTTCTAAGCTAGAAGTTGCTTAGTACGTGGGAATGAAACGGCAATTTCAAGGACTAATTAATAAGTGTTCAGTGAAATAACAAAAGAGCAGGAGAATACATGCATTCAGTTCGATGAATAGCAAGCATGCTGCCGGGTGGTAGTACATGTACACATCAACATGTACAAACACCCGGCAGCCACAGGAAAAAAAATGCCTACCCCCACCACAGCAGATTCCGCTGTCCAGCGTAGACAGAATGCTCACGAGGGTAAGAAAGGGGGTAAGCAGCACGAGGAAAGAAAAGTTTACATCACAGCCACAGCAGGAAGTACCGGTACCACATGCAATCACTGCCTGGGCTCATTCAGAACACAAAAAGGGCAGAATCAGCAGCAGCAGGTGGCACCATGGCACTGCATAGTCACATAACCGCATCGGCAGCCATACAGCGAGCATGCCCGGTGCCACCAACAGGCAGAGCCATTTCCATCCTCCAACCACCTCCCACTCCCTGCATTGGGCAGTTCCCAAAACCTGCCTCTTATGCTTCGTCCAACCTCCACACGCCCCCCGTTGCAGGTGCCTTGCTGATCCAAGCCGCTTCAAGAGCCCATTCTACATCGCTGAAATGCCCTCCACGGTAAGTGTCCATGCTACATGCTCCCTCCATGGTCCCTCCATGCTCCCTTCATGCCAACTCCACCCTCAGCTGCACATCATCCCACTGTCTACACATTGCCATCAGCCACCCTTCACGCTCTCAGCCCCTCCTTAATCCTCTTCAGGTCACCAGTTCACACAGTAACACCAAAGTTAGTGTGCCATACCGTACCAAAACGTTTTTTTCTTGGGGTGACCGAAGTCTTAATGCTTGCCTCACAGGCGAACATACTCACACACCCCCAAACACATGCACACATGTGCGCACGCACATACCAGTACCTGCAGCACAAGGAGCTGGCATTCCTCCCACACCCACATGCAGACTGCTCACTAGCCACACCCAACAATGTTAGATCCACTGCACACACATGCACAAGTCAAAATGTCAGCTTCACACGACCATTCTCACGACCACTTTCACACAACCATTCCCTCGACGCCTCATCCTCTTCCACATCCATGGCTTCATCCGGGCTTCTCCACTGCTGCAGCAGCTGCCCTCGAAAAACCCTCTTCTTAACCTCGCCGTCTCCTTAGCATCTCTCTTCTCCCCGTTTAGCACCTCTCCCCTTCTAGCGCCTGCCCCTGCCGCTGCTGCTACCGCCCCTCTTCCTGCCCAGCTGCCCCGACCACATGAGGTGCGCCTGCTGCTCCATAAACGCCATGACCCACTGGCTCTTCTCCCGCCGCTCCTCCGCTGCAGCCGCAGAGAGGGACACTGCAAGGAAGGCCGCTGCAGACCCACACCCACCTTGGCATCTCCCCCCAACTAGCTGCCCTTAACCCCCCCCGCTTCGTCCCTCTTCGTCACCCTCCCATAGGCATCTCTCCCCTTCTAGCGCCTACCCCTGCCACTGCTACCGCCGCCCCTCTTCCTGCCCAGCTGCCCCGACCACATGAGGTGCGCCTGCTGCTCCATAAACGCCATGGCCCGCTGGCTCTTCTCCCGCCGCTCCTCTGCTGCTGCAGTGGCCTCGTGCGCGCGGGCGGCGGCGAGGAAGTGGTTGTCCTTCCGGAGCTCCCTTGCTGCTCCCCTGGCTTCTCGCTTGATCGCCCGTTGTAGCTTCCGCTGCTCCGCCCTCTCCCTGTTCGGGTCGTAGTCCTTGCCCCGGGCAAAGCTGAGTGAGGAGCGGGAGGGACGGAGGAGAAAGGGAGGAGAGGGGCACAGGAGAGGTAGGGGAGGGGAGATAAATGAGGAGAGCGCCCAACAGTTGCCACTGCAGCAGCGGCGCGGCGGCCTCGTGCGCCCGGGCGGTGGTGAGGAACTGTTGTCCTTCCGCAGCTCCCTCGCTGCGTCCCGCGCCTCCGCTTTATCGCCCGCTGCAGCCGGCGCTGCTTCGCCTGCTCCCTATTGGGGTCGTAGTCCTTGCCCCAGGCAAAGCTGAAGGAGGGAGCCAGTAGTGGGGGGGGGGGGGGAGGAGGAGCGGGGGAGGGGGGGGGGGGGGGGGGGGGAAGGGGAAGGCGAGGGAGGGGGAGGAGAGGCGAAGGGGAGAGAAAAAGAAGGGAGATTAATGAGGAGAGCACCCCACGTTGCCCACTGCAGCAGCAGCCGCCTCGTGCGCCCAGGTGGCGGCAAAGAAGTGGTTGCCCTTCCGCAGCTCCCTTGCTGCGCCCCGCGCCTCCCGCTTTATCGCCCGCTGCAGCCGGCGCTGCTCCGCCCGCTCCCTGTTCGGGTCGTCGTCCTTGCCCCAGGCAAAGCTGGAGGGGGAGAGGAGCAAGGGAAGGAGGGAGAAAAGGAGGAGGGAGGCCACAAAGGAGCCGTTTTTTAGAATTCTCAAAAGTGACTCCACTGTAGTCCGAGGAGGGAGGCCACAAAGGAGCCGTTTTTTAGAATTCTCAAAAGTGACTCCACTGTAGTTCGAGGAGGGAGGCCACGAAGGAGCCGTTTTTTAGAATTCTCAAAAGTGACTCCACTATAGTCCGAGGAGGGAGGCCACAAAGGAGCCGTTTTTTAGAATTCTCAAAAGTGACTCCACTGTAGTTCGAGGAGGGAGGCCACGAAGGAGCCGTTTTTTATAATTCTCAAAAGTGACTCCACTGTAGTCCTTGCCCCCGGCAAAGCTGGAGGGGGAGAGGAGCAAGGGAAGGTAGGAGAAAAGGAGGCGGGAGGCAATGACGGGAGGAGGGAGGCAATGGCGGGAGGAGGGAGGCAATGGCGGGAGGAGGGAGGCAATGGCGGGAGGAGGGAGGCAATGGCGGGAGGAGGGAGGCAATGGCGGGAGGAGGGAGGCAATGGCGGGAGGAGGGAGGCAATGGCGGGAGGAGGGAGGCAATGGCGGGAGGCGGGAGGCAATGACGGGAGGAAAAGAGGTCACAGTGAACAGCAAGGGGAAGAGTGGAGCCAGCCATGCTCCCCTCAGACCATAAGACACTCAGCAACCCCAAACCAACAGCACTCTATAACACTCCATACGTACTCAGTTTCAAACTTAGGATTGAACTGCTTGGCTGGGACGGCCCGCTTCACCCTCAGCCGCAGCGGCTGCCTGCTCCCCTCCACCTCCGCCACTGCCCCCTCAATATCTTTCACCCACGCTGCCCGCTCCTGCTCTATCTCCTCGGGCAGCTGCCCGGATTCCGCCAGGGCGGCAAGGGTGGGCAGGAAGGGGGAGAAGATCTCGGGGAAGGGCTGCATGGGGCGGTAGAGCAGCGCGAAGGAGCGCAGGGTCTTGAGCACCGCTAGCAGCAGGCTCAGCCTGACAGGTGAACAGCATGGGATAAGGAGAAAGGGGGGGGGTGGGCGGGGGGGTGGGGGCGGGAGAGAGCAAAGGTGGGCACAAATGAAGAGGACGGTTTTAGGGAAGGGCGGGGGGGGGGGTGGGCTTCAGGTGTGGGGAGTTGGAGGAACAATGTCAGCACAGGGGTAGAGCAGCCCGTAGGTTGGCAGGATCTGAGCACCGCTAGGGGATACTCAGCCTATAACGACCCTGGAACCCACCTGAACCCACCCAGCAACCCAGCAACCCAGCCCAAACGACCCAGCAACCCAGCCCAAACGACCCAGCAACCCACCTGAGCCCTGCCGGAACCAACTGAACCCACCTGAAGACGTCGGAACCAAAGTAGGCCTCTGCCACGGTCCCTGCTGCACTGCCTTCCACGCCCACTGGGGCAGGAGGAGCAGCAGGAGGAGCGGAGGGCGACGGGTTAGTAGTGGTAGTAGCGGTGGTGGTAGTAGTGGTGGTAGTGCTAGCGGTGATAAGGTTTGAATGGGCGCTCGAAGGGCCGAGGAAGATCCTGTCAAAATCGAGGGCCTCGGGCTTGTCCTCTAGTGGCTCGCGCTTGCGCTTGCGGCTGTTGTGGCCGTCGCCACAGGGGGTCCAGAGCCACTGCTGCGAGCACACCTGTAGAAGCATGTAGCGGGGCACGCCCTGTAGCAGGGATGGTGGAGGGGCACGTGGGGTGGGGTAGAGGGGAGGATGGGTGGAAATGGGGTTTGAATGGGCGCCCCAAGGGCCGAGGAAGATCCGGTCGAAACAAAGGGCTCAGGCTTGTCCTCCCGGCTCCCTCATGCGCTTGCGCTTGCGGCTGTTGTGGCCGTCGCCACAGGGGGTCCAGCCGCTGTTGCGGCTGTTGCGGCTGCTGCGAGCAGACTTGAAAAAGCATGTAGCGGGGCACGCCCTGGGTGGAGGAAGGTAGAGGGGTGGGAGGGAGAAGGGAAGGGAAGACGTTCTAATGAGTCTCCACAAGTTGGCACAGGGCGTCGAGTCCAGAGCCGCTGCTGCGAGCACATCTGCAGCGGCATGTAGCAAGGCGCGCAACGAGGGTCGGAGGGAGAAAATGGTTGACGACTGAAAGGGGAAGATGGAGGAGGTGCAATTTAAGCTGGTTAAAAACACATGTCCAAAAGGGGGCGGGGGAGGGGGGGAAGGGGAAGGGGGGAGGAGAAGGGGGGAAGGGGGGGGGAGGGGGAGGAGGAAGAGAGAGGGGAGCCGGAGGGGGGGAACGCAGGAGGAAAGGGCATACTTTGCCTGGTCTGCTTGAGCGCAGCCATACCTTGGGCTTGAGTGGTTTGAGCACAGGAGCGACAGCACTCCACAGCAGCGCGTGTAGGAAGTTGAGCGCCTCTGGCACGAAAGGCATGTTTTGAGTCGACTCAAAACGCACTGGGAAGAGGAAAGGCCTTACCTTGGGCTTGAGTGGTTTGAGCGCAGGGGCGACAGCACTCCACAGCAGCGCGTGTAGGAAGTTGAGCGCCTCTGGGACGAACCGACGGCTCTGCGACACCATCTGGGAGGGGTGAGGTGAGGGGACAGAGGGGATGAGAGAGAGAATGCATGACAGGGGGGTGTGCATGGTGCGAGAATGGAGAACAGGGGCAGCCCGCCTTGATAAAATCCGCGTGACATGAGACAATTTGGGATGGGTGAGGTGAGGGGACAGAGGGGATGAGAGAGAGAATGCATGACAGGGGGGTGAGCATGGTGCGAGAATGGAGAACAGGGGCAGCGCCTTTTGAGAGGATTCAATGCTACAAAGCATGCAGGCAGGGCGTGGAGCAAGTCGAGGGTTTCTGGCACAAAATGACGACTCTAGGTCACCATCTGGACAGGAGTCAGAGGGGCAAGGAAGGCAGACAAGGGCAGTACGTGATTTTTGAGTCGACTCAAAAATCACCTATGAAGGGCAGACAGGGCAGCAGGAGCGGCAGCGCCACCACCAGTGCCATGGGCCATGGCTACTGATGGGGACTCCGTTTACTTACCCAGAAGGAATGAAGCGACCGACGGCTCTCACGTTTGAGGAGGGGCGCGGAGATAAAGCGCCCGGTGGCCAAGTTCTTGGATCAGTCAGCTCCCTGATCCGCGCCCGGTGGCGTGGATCAGTCAGTCAGTTCCTCTCCTGCTGCCCCGTTCTTGGAGGAGCGCACGCGCACGGGGCAGCAGGAGAGGAACTGCCTGTTTTTGAGAATTCTAAAAAACGCCCCGTTCTTGGAGGAGCGCACGGGGCAGCAGGAGAGGAACTGCCTGTTTTTGAGAATTCTCAAAAACGCCCCGTTCTTGGAGGAGCGCACGCGCACGGGGCACGTCCTGAGAGGAACCGACAGACTGATCCAGCAGCAGTCAGTGACACGAGGTCATGACATGACCACTTGAGGGGGCATCATCATTGAAGAAGAAGAGAGAGAGAGAGAGAGGTTGACGAACGGCTCTCACATTTAGCAGGAGTGCGGAGATGAACAGCCCGGCAGCCACGTCCTTGGTGGAGCGCACAGGGCAGCAGGAGAGGAACTGCCCCAGCAGCAGCGACACGGGCGTCATGACGGGATGGCGGAAGTCGGACGAGGGGAAGATGAGCGCCCAGAGACGCAGGAGTAGGAGCGTGCGGGCAGTAGGCCACGCTGGCTCTGAGAAGCAACAAAGACAAGGGAAATGGGGCGGCAGAGGGGCAAGTTGCACAGGGGTCATGACAGGGTGGCAGAAGTCGGACGAGGGGAAGACGAGCGCCCACAGACGCAGGAGTAGGAGTGTGCGGCAGTAGGCCACGCTGGCTCTGAGGGGAACGCAACACGGGGGATGGACAGAGAAGGGCAATGTAGGGCGCCATGATCAGGTGGTGGCGGAAGTCAGGAGGGGAAGATGAGCGCCCACAGGCACAGGAGGAGCGCGAGCAGCGGGCCACGCTGGCTGTGAGAAGAGGGAAGAGATATGGATGGATCGATAGAAAAGCGACAGGGGTCATGACGGGGTGGCAGAAGTAAGAGGAGGGGAAGATGGGCGCCCACAGCCGCGCAGATCTCCGGACATAATTCCAGCGAGCGCGGTGCTTGAGGACGGTTTGGCAGGTAGGGAAAACAGCTTAAAAGCTCGAAGTCAGAGGAGGGGAGGACGGGGGGCCACAGCCGCACAGATCTCCGGACAGCGGCTGTGGGCGCCCGTCTTAGCAGGTAGGAAAAACAGAGGGGGGGAAGACGGACATAATTCCAGCGAGCGCGGTGCTTGAGAGGACGGTTTAGAAGGTAGTTTCAAAGCTCGAAGTCAGGAGGGGAAGACGGGCGCCCACAGCCGCGCAGATGGCAGCGAGGAGCAGGAAGGAGGCGGAGAGGTCGACCAGCGGCTGAACGAGCACGTGGCTGCTGCCACTGACGGCGCCCTCTGGCTGGAGGCGGACTTTTTACTATATGGGATGCACCAGCGCACCAGTGTGGGGAATTGGGTTGGGAGACAAATGTGCATTCACTCATACCTCCGGTCTTGAGGCGGGTCACCAGGCGTTTCTGCATGCGAGCAAGTCTTTCTCGCGCGCACACCGCAGCGAAGAGCGGGAAGGAGGCGGAGAGCTCGACTCGAGGTTGCACGAGCACGTTGATGTGCGCCGCTGCCACTGGCGGCGCCCTCTGCTCAAGGCGGACAGCTCTACTAGAGGGGTTGCCCCAGCACGTTGATGTGGGGGTTGGGGAAACAATGGGGATTCTTTCGTACCTCCTGTCTTGAGGCGGGTCACCAGGCGTTTCTGCATGCGGGCGAGCCTCTCCCGGGCGCAGACGGCAGCGAAGAGGGGGAAGGAGGCGGAGAGCTCGACCAGCGGCTGCACGAGCACGTTGATGTGCGCCGCTGCCACTGACGGCGCCCTCTGTTGCAGCGCACTCGTCGGCTCCTCCTCCTGCTCCTTCGCACCCTGCTCCGCGCCCTTCTGCACTTTCTTTTCCCCCGCTTGCGGCTTTTCCTGCTGCCTGCTCCCTTGCTGCTGCTGCTGCTGCTGCTCCTGGTGGTGCTGCTGCTTCTGCTTCTTCCCCCGCTGATCCTCCCCCTGCTGCTGATACACGGGAGAGCTATCGCTAGCCAGCGACGCAAAGTACTGCAGGAGCACGTTGTAAAAGATCTGCATCTTGCGCTTGTTGTCGGGGGACAGGTGCGCCGCGTTGCACGCGCGGATGCGCGCGATGGCCACCCCCACCTCTGGTGCTGCGCGCCCCTCTAACAGCTGCTGCAGGTCCTTCAACTGCTGGGGGGCTTCTATCACGTACGGCAACTCGCGCCGACGGAACACCCGCTCTATGCGCTCCATCTCCTCCTCCTCCTCCTCCCCCTCCTCCTCCTCCTCCTCTTCCTCCTCCTCCTCCTTCCTCCTCCTCCTCTTCCTCTTCTTCCTCTTCCTCCATCGTCCCTGGGCCCACCACTTTCCCCTGCTGCTGCTGCTGTTGTGTCGACGGTTTCCCCTCCGCCTCCGCTTCCTCGTCCTCCTCATCACTCTCCTCCCCCTCCTCCCTCTCCTCCCCTTCCTCAAGCTCTTCACTCTCCTCCCCTCCTTGCTTAACCGCCCTATCCCCTACCGGCCCCCGCTTAACCTCCCCTCTCTCGCCTCCTGCCTCCTCGTCACTCTGCTCCCACTCCACGTCAGCTAAATTCTCCTCCTTATCCTCCTCTTCCTCGTCTTCCTCACTCCCACTCCCCTCCTCCCCCTCACTCCCACTCTCCTCCTCCTCCTCTCTCTGAGCAAGCACGTCATACACCCACCCCTTCTTCTCCCTCCCGCCCTCCTCATCCTCCTCATCCTCCTCATCAAGCACGAAATTCTCTCCCAAATCGTCCCCAGAGACCTCCCTCTTGGTCTTTTTTCTCTGCCGCTTCTTCCTCCCCCTCCCGCCCTCCTCCTCACTCGACCCCTCCTCCCCCTCCTCCTCATCATCACTGGGCTCCCCGTCCATCCTCCGCTTCCTTGCAGCCTGCGAAACGGGTCAAAAGGGCGAGTGGACAAGGCAAAGAGGGGAGTAGATGATAGTTAACAACTGTGCACTACACTAGCACTCGCAGTCCTCATCATCACTGGGCTCCCCGTCCATCCTCCGCTTCCTTGCAGCCTGCGAAACGGGTCAGAAGGGCGAGTGGACAAGGCAAAGAGGGGAGTAGATGATAGTTAACAACTGTGCACTACACTAGCACTAGCAGTCCTCATCATCACTGGGCTCCCCGTCCATCCTCCGCTTCCTTGCAGCCTGCGAACAAGGCACGGGAAAAGTTGATCGCCATGCAGCACGCAGGCACGCACAGCACACAGGCGTGCTCAGCACAGTGGCAAGCAACTACAGTTACGCACGCACGTCTGGTAAACCGAACACGCGCTGCACACGCGCTAATGGAAACGCGTGCTACACACGCGCCCGCAAAGGCGTTCTATCTCAATCAACCTCACCTCGAGCTTCACCAGCCGCGCCCTCTCCGCCTCTGCCGCCTCCTCTGCCGTCTTGCTGCGCTCCCCCGGCTTGGCGCGGATGTCAAAAATCATCTCCCGCGCCAGCACGTCGTACTGCTTGTCGTCCATCTCCTGCAGTACGCAGTGGGGTGAAAGAGAGGTGCAGGGAGGGGGCAAGCGGGGGAAGAGGGAGGCGTAACCAAGCGAGGCTTTAGTCGGATGTCCAACACCGTCTCCCGCGCCAGCACGTCGTACTGCTTGTCGTCCAGCTCCTGCAGTACCAGCAGCAACAAGAGGAGCGGAGGGCGAACGAACACGGAAAGAGAGGGGAGAGGACATGGGAGAAACGACGGGACGAAGAAGGAGAATGGGGTAGAGGGTGTAAGGACCAAGAACGGAAGGTGTCGACTTTTGAGGCGCCTCAAAATGTAGTTTGAGTCGACTCAAAAATCACCTACGGGACGCAGGAGGGTGGGGTAGAGGGTGTAAGGACCAAGAACGGAAGGGATACGAGAAGCTAGAGATGTGGCAGCAGAGGTGTTTTCAATCGACTCAAAACACGGGAGAAACGAAAGGCGACACGGAAGGAGTGTCGGGGAGAGGGTGCAAGGTCACAGAACGGAGGGGACAAGAGAAGCTAGAGATGTGGCTGGCAGCGCAATAGCAGCAACGTAGCCTGCTGGATGCAAGGCAGTTCCTGTGGCCAAGGCAGCGAAGCTAGCAACACGACAGCCGCCGCCCCCGCCGCCGCAGCAGCAGCAGCATGGAATCAACTCAAAAGCAGACTCATTACACGTGGTTTTTATATTGATAACGTACTTGTTGCTTGGTAGATTGGGAAGAGTTCACTGAAAATACAGCCTGTGGCAACAGCAGCGAAGCTAGCAATCGCAACACGACAACCGCAGCAGCAGCAGCAGCAGCATTGCTCGCAAGCAGTGACAACAGCTGGCAGAACGCACGACAGACGCACCTCTTCAGCCACATCAGCGGCCAGGAGCGAACCACCAGCAGCCGGCACCTTCGCAGCAGCAGCAGCAGCAGCAGCAGGCCCAGCTCCAGACACTCCTCCCCCTCCCTCCGCTCCCCCTCCCGCCTTCTCCTTGCCCTTGGCGTCCTTGCCGCCCTTGTCGCCCTTTGCGCCCTTGGTCGCGCGTGTGAGTGCGAGCAGCGCGTCGGACTGCGCTATGTGGCGGAAGTCCTCGTCCAGCTTCTCCCTCAGCTGCTCGTCCTCCTCCTTCTCCGCCTGCCGCCTCGCCTTGAACAGCTTGCTCTTCGCCATCACCTCCTCCATCACCTCGCGCTTCGTCTTCTGCCGTTCTTCTCCCCCCTCCCCCTCCTCCTCCGCCCCAGTATCGCCCTGCAAAACACCAGGAAACGAAGGGCATTTGGTTGGATACATGAGACAGAGTATTCCTCCTCCTCCTCCTCCGCCTGCCGCCTCGCCTTGAACAGCTTGCTCTTCGCCATCATGCATCAAGGGGACACGTCAAAGAACCACATCAAAGAACCACGTCAAAGAACCACATCAAAGAACCACATCAAAGAACCACGTCAAAGAACCACATCAAAGAACCACGTCAAAGAACCACATCAAAGAACCACATTACAGAGACACGTCAAAGAGACACGTCAGCGAAAGAAACGCGTCCAGAGACACGTCGAGAGATACAAGCAGGCACAGCGAGGGAGGTACGGAGGCAGGTGAAGCTCACCTCTGCATCCGACGCCGACTTGGCCTTGGGAATGAAGCCACCGCCGAAGTGGTAGTCGCGCACAAGCTGATCGCCCACTGCACAGAGAGAGAGGGGGGAAGAGGGGGGGAGAGGGAGAGCGAGAGGGGAAGAGACGAAAGAGACGGACACAGGGAGAGACGGATGAGACGGGTAAGGAGGCGGGTGAAGCTCACATCTGCATCTGATGCCGACTTGGCCTTGGGAATGAAACCACCGCCAAAATGGTAGTCGCGCACCAGCTGGTCGCCCACTGCCCAGCTGGTCGCGCACAAGGGCGCGGGGGAAGGCACAAGGGCGCGGGGGAAGGCACAAGGGTGCGGGGGAAGGCACAAGGGCGCGGGGGAAGGCACAAGGGCGCGGGGGAAGGCACAAGAGCGCGGGGGAAGGCACAAGGGCGCGGGGGAAGGCACGGGCACAGGAGAGAGACGGATGAGTCATACACGCGCACGCCACCAACGCGAAGCGGTAGTAGTCGCGCACAATCCGATCGCCCACTGCAGAGAGAGAGAAAGAGAGAGGGGGGGGGGGGGGGGAGACACATGCACAAGAGGAAGGCGTGCAAGGAAAGGAAAGGGAAGGGTGGGGAGCGAGGGGCTGGGACGGACGGAGAGGAGAGCTCTCGCGGAAATGATAAGGCGCGCACAGTCTGATCGCCGGGGGAAACGGAACGGAAAGATCCCGGTGACTTTTGGGTCGACTCAAACGGAATGGAAAGTTCCCACAGCACACCGATGAGCCTGCAGTATCCGGCCGCCCACAGCACACACGCGCGTTGGACGACGGCAGGCGCCACAAGGGACGGACGGATGAGGACGCCGGGGGAGTAAGGGAAGGGGAGCGGGAGAGGGGAGGGGGAGGGGGGGGGGGGGAGTGGGAGGACAGGGGGAGGCCGCCCAAATAGGTGAAGGGGGACCGCAGGGGGGAGTGAGTGTGCGACAAGGCAATCGGCCACAGCGGGGTGACACGAACAGTCATATCTGGACAGACGACACTCCTAGCGGCTTCCGTCCAGCAGCCGTGTAGCCGCTGGGCGGCGAAATGAGGCGACCATCATCCCACTCACGCGCTCCATCGTCGTCGTCGTCGTCCTCCCCGAAGCCAGACACGTCCGAGTCGTCGAAATCATCTATGTCCCGCCCGCCGTGCGTCAGCCGGTAGCCGCCGCCCTCACTTCCCCCAGCTCGTCCGCCGCTGCCCCCCCCAGCTCCGCCGTCGCTCCCCTCCTCGTCGTCCTCGCCGTCGTCGTCATCCCCGAGGGCGAAACGGTTCTTGCGACTCAGCTGGGCCTGCGGTAAATGGGAAAACGGAGGAGAAAGATCTAGTCCTCAAGATAAAAAACTCAAGATAAGGCGCATCCTAAACGAGAGCAAGACGGAACGAGGCATGGGAAGAAGTTACAACAAGGCCCTACACCAGATAAGGCGCTTCCTAAAGAAAAGCGTGAGCGCAATGACGACCAAGTCATGCCATATCGTACCATGCGCTCTTTCTGGAATCGCACGATGGCCTTCTCGCCCTCGGGGATGGACTCGTCTCCCTCGCCGAACCTCCGATCCAGAAACAGGTTCGCATTCCCGCGCTGCTGAAACTCCTGCAGCAGCGTCGCCTTCCTCTGATGGGGTGGGTCGAGATGGCGGGCGGCAGGGGGAGGGGGAGGGGGCGGGGGAGGGGGGGAGGGGGAGGGAGGGCGGGGAAGGGGGTGTGGTGGGGGACAAACGGGGACGATGACAGAGGTCAGGTTTTCAAATGCTGCACGACTGGAACTCCTGCAGCCTTCTTGGGGTTGGGGTCACCGGGGGGGAAGGCGGGGGGAGAGGGGAAAGACGAGGGAACAAACGGGGACGGTTAAACGGTCAGGAATTTTTTAGTCGACTCAAAAATCGACTCATTAAAACGGTCAGGAATTTCAAGCGCTTTGAGACTGGAACTCGTGCAGCGGCGTCGCCTTCCTCTAACGGTCGGGTTCAGGATGTGAAAGGCGGCGGAAAAGGCACGGCTAATTGTATTTCGAGTCGACTCAAAATACAACCGGGCTCACGATGTGAACGGGAACGGAAAAGGCACGGCTAATTACGGCGTTCGTATAGTGTGGACGGCGGATCCAGTCGAAGATTGGACGGGAGAAAGATCACGGGAAGGGAGAGGGTGCTGAAGCGACAATTAGACGGAAAGAAAGAGCCAAGGAGAGGGACGGATGTTAGTTTTGAGGCGCCTCAAAACTGGACGAGACAAGATCACGATAAGGGAGAGGGTGTTGAAGTGACGCTAAGACGGAAAGAAAGAGCCAACGAGAGGTGGCTAACGAGTCGACTCAAGGGCCAAGGAAAGGTGACTTTTGAGTCGACTCAAAAGTCATCACGGGAAGGGAGAGGGTGGTGAAGCGACGATTAGACGGAAAGAAACCAAGAAGAGGGACGGAGGAGGCGGAAGCCGGAAGGCGAGAGAGAGCGAGAGAGGTAAGCGGGAGTCACGGAGATATTAATTTAAACGAGCTACGAACAGCCGTTTGAAGGACTCAAAGGATCATCCACAAACACGATATAATCAATTTCCTTCCTGAGGAACACTATTCGTGACGCAGAACATCAATAACGCGACGAGACATGAACGGGAAGGAAGAAAGGGGTGTCTCGGAACAAAAGGAAGCAAAAGTCCGCACGACAGGATTACCACAAAGCGCGAGGAACGAGCAAAGTCTGCACGAGCCTTTCCCAAACTGTCTCTTAAACTCCCTAAGGCTAAGTCTAACCTTCTCCACCGCAGCGCTCCGGGCCTTGCCGATGGACTTGGCGCGAACATCGCCCTTGACCTTCCGTCCCAGGATGTCGAACTTGCGCCGGTTCCACAGCTGCTCGAACACGTTCGCCAGCCGACCGGACACTCCCACAGGCTTGCCGCTCCTAGACAGGCCGGCAGAGCTGCTGGGGACCGACCCTCCCGCGCCAGCACTCCGGTTCTTAGCCATCCTCCCCGTTTCTGTTCCTGTTCGAAGGAACTAAACTGAACTAAGCCTCGGGAATGAGACGCTAGTTCTGAAGGGACTGTGCTACCCTCGCGACTCTAATCTCAGGGCTGAGCCGACGCCCTAAAAAGGCTCGAGCTAAAGCCATGGTGTCATATCGGGGCGAGCGCTAAGCAAGCCCCAATACGGGAGAATGTCGGAAGGCAGCAGCTACACGTAACCTCTAAAACGGACAAGAGAAATTTCTCTTGAAAATACAAATGGATCGTTCACTTTCAAGCTGCCTTGCAAAGTTTGTCAGTAATCCAGTTGAAGCTGTTGGTTGGTTGCCTCAGGTGAGCCGAGCCGAGGTGGTGGTGTGGTTGCTCCTCCTCTCCTCTCCTTTCGTGTGGGCCAAGCGGCCAACAGTGAGAACTACGCCGACAGGCCCAATGAATCTGGGTTTGCCTTGGGGTTGGGGGAGGGAGAAGCTAGGGTTTCGCTTGGGCCTCTCTCCTCTCTCCTCTCCCCTCCCCTCTCCTCTCCTCTCCTCACTCTCCAGTTCCAACTCGCTCTGCTCGCCTGGGTTCCGAATTTCTCCGTTCCCTTCCGTCCTGTCCCGTCTGTTTCTTGACTTTCCCATCCATTCAGCTGACATTCAACCGGCTGCCGTCAGACCTCACGCATCCATCCATCCATCCCCTCCCCAACCCACCAACCAGTTTCTTGCAGCCTGCAGCGAGCACGGAAGATTTCGCCACAGGCTGAGCAGCACCCGGGCGAAAGCATCGCAAACACGGGGCTGCTGTCGTCAGTGCTGCCCGCGAGTCGCACGGTCACGCGCGAGCCGGAAAGTTATTGGACGTTCGCAAATGGATGCACCCGATTGGGCCTTGCATAAACGATGCGAACCATCCCATGGTTGGTGCAGCAGTGTCAAGGCAAACCACAGCGGTCAAGCATTAACGTTGAAAATAATCAATACTACTTCCAGACTCATGTAGTAAAATTTCATACATGAGGGAGTATTCCAATCCGCTCATCTCTCAACTTCATTCAAAAAGAGATTGGCGAAGCCACCATCCAATACTCGAGAGACCCTCCCAGCGATGGTGACAACAGACATTTTTTTAAACAAGCTATTGAAAATAAGAAAAAGATTGGCAACTCTATACTAAACATGCAAGCAAACAAAAACAATGAGCTCTTCTAGGCTACACAGCTTTGCACCCAGCTACAGGTCTCATGAGACTCCAGCTCACTCAGCTCAAGGGGGATAAATTCATGCCATGTGCTCTCCCTTATGCTGCTGCTCGCCGTACTTGCTCCCCTTCCCCCTCCTCTTTCTCCTGCTCCAGCTCGTGTGACTCCAGCTCACTCACCTCTGGTGGAATGAATTCACGCCATGTGCTCTACCCGCTGCTACTGCTCTCCCTCCTTGCGCCCCTCCCCCTCCTCTTTCTCCTGCTCCATCTCATGGGACTCCAGCTCGCTCAGCTCTGGGGGGATGAACTTCCCAAACGACACCCCTGCCTTGGGGACCTTCTTCCGCCTTCGCCTCCCCACCTTGTGCTGCTGGCAAGGGGCATTGATTGGGGCACCAGCGGCACTGAGTTCCTCCCCTGCTGTCCCTGAGCTGGCCGTTTCAAGTGAGCCTTCCTCTGAGAGATCCCCTGAAAGTTCATCTGACCCTTCCCATGACCCTTCCTCTGACCCCACTTCCTCCCACTCCCCATCCTCTGAGCCCTCTTCTTCCTCCTCCATGTCACCCTCCTCTGCCACTTCCTCCTCCCTAAACCCAGACTCTTCAGCCACTGTCTTGCCACTTGCAGTTCCTTCTTCCTTCACCTCTCCCTCTTCCTCTTCCTTCTCTTCCTCCTGCTCACCCTCCTCTCCACCCACCTCCTCCTCTCCCTCACTCTCTTCCTCACCTCCCCCCTCACTCACATCAGACAATTCCTCCTCAACCTCCTCGTACTCCCCATCACTCCCCAAGCTGACGTCATCCCCATACTCACTCCCTTCCAGCCCCTCATCCACACTCACATCATCACCTTCCACACTCCCCTCCTCACCCCCCTCATCCTCGTTATTGCATTCCTCGTTTTCCTCCGATGGTCTCATTATGTGGGACCCACTATCCGAACCATCTTCTACATCCTCACCCTCACCTCCCTCCTCACCCTCTCCTTCCACTTCCGCACCCCCCTGCCCTTGCTCCTCATCTTCTGTCATCTCCTCTCCCCCACTCACCTCTCCATCCTCACTCCCCTCACTCTTCTCAAATCCCTCACTTCCCTCCCTCTCCTCTTCTCCCTCCCTTCCCTCCCTCTCCTCTTCTCCCTCACTTCTCCCCCCCTCCGCCCCATCATCAAGGTAGGCATCATCATTCAACAGCTGCTCTACCTCATCCTCAGATAGTATCTCCTCCACCTCCTCCCCTTCGTCCACCCCTTCCTCCTCTTCACCTTCCAATATGTCATGCTCCTCTCCCTCCTCCCCCTCTGCGTCCTCCTCATCCTCCCCTCCCACTCCGCCATCCTCCTCGTCTGATTCCTCCACGATTTCATATGCTTCCGCTTCCCCATCTTCCTCATCTTCCTCACACCCCTCCCTTTCCTCCCCATTATCACCCTCATCTCTTGGCGCTGCTGACTGCTCCTCATAGCCCTCCTCCCCCTCACTCACTTCCTCTTGCTCCCCGCTTTCCTCCCCCACCTCCTCCCTCTCCTCCTCCCCCCCCTCCCCCTCCTCGTCTTCATACACCATCTCAACGATCTCCTCCCCTTCTTCAAGATCCTCCTCGTTCACATACTCGTAAATCACTCCTTCCTCCTCTTCCTCCTCTTGCTCCACTCGCTCCACTTCTTCCTCCCCTTCCTCGAGATCCTCCTCGTTCACATACTCGTAAATCACTCCTTCCTCCTCTTCCTCCTCTTGCTCCACTCGCTCCACTTCTTCCTCCCCTTCCTCGAGATCCTCCTCATTCACATACTCGTAAATCACCTCTTCTTCCTCTTCCTGCACCTCCCCCTCCACTTCCTCCTCCTCTTCCACCTCCTCTTCCACCTCTTCCTGTGCTGCTTCTGTTTCCTCATCCTCTTCTGCATCCTCCTCTCCCTCTGCTGCTACCTCTCCCTCCTCTGCCATTCCCTCTTCCTCCACCTCCCCCTCACTCACACACTCATACCCCACCTCCACCTCCTCTTCCTCCACTTCCCCTTCCACCTCCTCTCCATCAACACACTCCTGCTCCTCCACCTCCACCTCGCCCTCCTCTCCCTCATGCTCCTCACACACCACCTCCACCTCCTTGTCCGCCATCTCCACCTCCTCTTCTGCCACCTCCACCTCCTCTTCCGCCACCTCAGCTCCCTCCTGCTCCATTTCCACCTCCACCTCCTCTCCCTCCTGCTCCTCACCCTTCACCTCCGCCTTCTCCACCTCTTCCTCTCTTTTCCCCTCAGCCCCCTCCTGCTGCTCCTCCTCCACACTCTCTTCTTCTGCGCTCTCCTCCACACTCTCTTCCCTCTCCTCTCCCACCATCTCTGCACCATCCACTGTCTCTCTGGCCTCGTCTCGCTCCTCTCTCTCCTCCCCTTCCTCTCCACTTGCCTGCATTCCCTGCTCTGCAGCAGCAGCATCAGCATCAGCGTCATCCACACTCTTCTCCTCCTCCTGCTCTCCGTGCTCCCTCTCTGCCTCTTCTTCCTCTCGCACTTCCTCTTCCTTCCCACTCGCCTCCTCCACCTCCTCATTACCCCTCTTCCCCACCCGATTTTCCTCCTCCCCACTCTCCCCACTCTCCTCATTTCCCTCCTCTCCCCCTGCTCCACAGCTGACAGCCACTGTCAGTCCGTCGCCTTCTTCAGGGCCTTCTGCCACATCAGCACCTGCCACATCAGCACCTTCTGCCACATCCGTACCTTCTGCCACATCAGCATCATCAGCCACGACAGCCCCGTCTGCCACATCAGCATCATCAGCCACGACAGCACCGTCTGCCACGTCAACACTGTCAGCATCATCTGCCAGGTCAGCACTCCCTACCACATCTACAGCCTCATTGATTCTCTCCCCAAATTGGGCCTCTCCTCCCATCCCACTCCCCTCATCGGTGCAGCATTCACCCTCACTCTCCCCCACACTCTCCTCCTCACTCTCCCCCACACTCTCCTCCTCACTCTCCCCCACACTCTCCTCCTCACTCTCCCCCACACTCTCCTCCTCACTCTCCCCCACAATCTCCTCCTCACTCTCCTCCTCACTCTCCCCCACACTCTCCTCCACCTCCTCACTCTCACACAGTATCCTGCTCTCGTCCTCATTCCCACCCATGGCCTCACCCTCTACCTCGTCCCTCTCACACTCCTCCCTCACTCCCTCTCCCACACTCTCTACCCCCAGCTCCTCCCCCTCTCCTTCGTTTCCCCCACCGCCTGCTGCCTCTGCCCCTATCCTCTCCTCCCCATCCTCCCTTTCCTCCCCTTCCTCTTCCCCTCCGCCCTCCGATTCCTCCTCCAGCTCACCCCCCTGAACGGCAAGTGCTTCTCCTGTGCCCCCGCCTTCCTCCTCTCCTTCCCTACTCTCTTCCTCTTGGTCTCCCCCTTCGTCTGCCTCTATTCCTTCGTCTGCTTCTGCTCCTTCTGAGTCGGCGTCAGACACACCGGCGTCACTCATGGTCTCACCAGCATCACACCCCTCCTCGGTGTCAATCCCCTCCTCCCCGTTGCCAGTTTCAGCACCAGCTCTTCTCCCCTCTTCCCTCTCCTCACTCCCCTCGCTGCTCCCCTCCCTCTCATCCTCATTCTCCTCCTCACTCTTCACGCTGCTGTCCACTTCCCTCTCACTCCCACACTCACTCCCTTCGCCCTCCTCTCTCTCACCCTCACTCTCACTGTCGCTCCTCACACTCACATCGTCTCCTACCTCACTCCCTGACCCAATATCGCTCCCACACTCACTCCCACTCTCGCTCCCACACACACTCCCACTTTCGCTCCTAGCCTCACTGCCACACTCACTCTCCCTCTCACTCTCACTTTCCCTATCACTCACACTTCCCCTCTCACTTCCACTCTCGCTTCCCCTCTCACTTCCACTCACACTCACCCTATCACTCTCCCTATCACTCTCTCTCTCGCTCTCATACTCACTCCCATTGTCGCTGGCCCCTCCACTTCCGCCCTCGTACTCTCTCTCCTCGTCTCCATCTGTTTGCCCAGCATCCCCCTCCTCCTCCCTCTCCTCCTCCCCCTCCTCGTCCCTCTCCTCCTCCCCCTCCTCCCTCTCCGCCTCACTCTCCTCCACCTCCTCTACTATCTCCACCACCTCCATTCCCTCCTCCAGCTCCTCCCCTTCCTCTAACTCAATCACCTCCACCTCCTCCCCTTCTTCCGTTTCCATCACCACCACCTCCTCCTCCTCCCTTTCCTCCTCCTCCCTTTCCTCCTCCTCCCTTTCCTCCTCCTCACTCACCTCGTCCCTCTCATCATCGCTGCGGGCCATCACCACCAGCGGCGGCAGAGCCAGCATCCACGCCTCCATCTCAGGGTCACACACACTCACTGGTGCCCCTGCTGCTGCTGCTGCTGCCACTGCTGCTCCTGTTCCTCCTGCCCCTGCTGCTGCCGATTCCCTTCCTGCCCCTCCTGCTGCTTGCCGCTGACTCCCTCCCCCCCCTCCTCTTCCCCCAATGCCCCCTTTCATCAGCTCTCTCCTCACTCCCTCCACCAGCATTTGAGCCTCCATCCACTCTTGAAGCTCAAGCATCTCATTCACCTCTTCCTCCCCCTCCTCCTCTCCCCCATACTCCCCTTCGTCCCAAAACGCCTTCCGCCCTCCCTCTCTCCCCACACCGTTTTCCGCCTCTTCCTCCTCTTCCTCCCCTTCCCCTTCCCCTTCCCCATAACCTCCTTCCGCGCCTCTCTCCCCCTCCCCTTCAGCCTGACTCTTCTCCTCCCCCTTTCCAATCCCCAAGGCTGCGATCTTAGCTGCAGCAGCGGCAGCAATGGCCGCCGCAGCCGCTGCTTTAGCCGCCGACTTGGGCGCCTTACCCTTGTTTTCAGTGGTCAACGAATCAACAGCACTGGCACCAGCACCAGCACCAGCACCAGCAACAGCAACAGCAGCTGGATCAACAAAATCAGCAGACGCAGGAAGAGCAGGAAGGGCAAGAGCAGCAGGAGCAGCTGTGGCAGTAGCAGCAACAAGAACAGGAGTAGCTGGAGTGGACAATCCATTAGGAGGAGCAGCAGCAGCAAGTAGAACCTCCCCATCCATAGCTGCCTCCAAACCGCCCAAACCTGCTGCTACTGCCGTCGTGCCCTGAGACGCTTCAAACCCGCCCAAACCTCCTCCTATTACCGCAATAGAAGCAGCCCCAGCCCCAGTCGCGGTGGTGGTGGTGCCAAGGCTGTTGCTGCTGATTCTGCTGCTGCTCTGACCGCGTGACGTGGAAGATAAGGCGGCTGACGTGGCTGCTGACGTGGGAGCCCAGCAGGACGGGCTCGCTTCATCGAACGTCACAGCCCCAGCATCATCCAGACTCAATAACGCGTATCCTTTTCCACCGCCACCGCTACTGCCGCCGCCGCCGCCGCCACCGCTGCTGCTGCTGCTGCCGCTACTGCCGAACCCAATCATTTGGCTCAGACGGCTAGTGAAGCTCAGGCTGCCCGTACTGCCAACTGTAGCAGCGGATGTAGCCGCGGATGTAGCCGCGGATGTAGCAGGCGCATCCGCAGCAGCTGACTCGGCCTTGCTGTGCGAATCAGCTGTAACAGCAGCTGCTGTAGCCGCGGCTGTAGCCGCAGAGCCTCCATTCTGAGGAGCACCGTTCGTTTCAGCCAGCTTGCTCAGAGCTCTGCTCAGAGCAGCGCCGTTCGGGTCGTTGATAGAACGCTCGCTATAGTCACCTCCCACTTCTCGGCGCGCCCCGTGCTTGGTGTCCAGCAGATAGAGCGGCTCGTCGAACTCGTTATTGTCATCCTCGTTAATGTTCTCACCGTCATTCTCCTCCCCTTTCCCCTCCCCCTTCATCTGCGAGCCATATATGTCCTCCTTTCCCGCATCGTAGCCGTCGATTGACCGGTTGGAGCCGCCTGATGACGTGGCAGTGAAGTAAGATGACGTGGAGTGGAACTCTGGCGCAGTGAATACCTGTGCCGACGCGAGAGATAGCGTGGGCGGCAGCGACACGGGTTTGGGTGGCGGCGTTGTCGTTTCTGCGCGCGTCCATGAGAAGAGACTCCCGAGAAACGAGCTACCGCCACTGGCGGCGGCTGTTGCGGCGCCATTTGTGGCGGAAGACGCGGCGCCAGCTGCGGTGGTCACGCTTGCCTCGCTCGCCGCTGCCTCTTCCTTTCTCGTCGCTTCGGAATCTTGCGCGAAATCGTCAGAGGCCATAAGGAGTGATGCATGAGGCAGAGAAGGAGCAACCCCGCCGTCAAACGCGGCGCGACTTGCGGAGGAGTGAGGGAAGGCGGAATGCGCAGATGAAGCATCCGATGCTATAGTCGCATCTGCCACGTCGGATTGTGCTGACGTGGCTGTCGGCGGGAAGGGTTCAACAGCAGCGGCCGCGGAACCGCGAGGCAGAGGCGGAAGGGTTGCGTGGGGAGGAGGCGGAAGGGCAGCGCGCGCGTTGCCTTCGGTCGCAGAGCGAGATGCAGCAGAAAGCGGGAGAAGGGGTGCGTCGTCGGAATCGGCAGCGTCAGCAGGAGCGGAAAGCGCGGAGAACGAGGAGAAGGAGGTGGTGGAGGTGAAAGAAGGGGAGGAAGAAGAAATAGAGGAAGAGGAAGAGGAGTGAAGAGCGGCGGTGGTGAGGAAGCAGCTGAACGAGGGCTGGAAGGACGGATGCCGAGCGGCGAATGCGGTGGGCGAATAGAGCACGATGGGCGTGGACGGTTCCGAAGGGGGCGCGGACGAAACGCCCGCCATAGTACTAACGGATGTGCCACTAGCAAATGTGCTAACAGCGAGCGGAACGGTCTGCGGGGTGATAGCAACGGGGGCTGGCGCGGGCGGAGTGGGGAGCTTTGGAACGGGCTGCGCGGGTGGCGCGGGTGGCGCGGACAGCGCGGGCGGCTCGAAAGTGGCTTCGAAGTATCCCGCGATATTGTCCCTTCCGTCCGTGCTGCTGCTGCTGGTTGCGCTGCGAGTGTGACTGTAGAAAGCGCTCTCGCCAGCCCCGCTCGTACCGTTCTTAAAGCTGAAGCCGGTGTAAGGAGGGACAATCCCGCTGAACGGATGTGACGTCATCGCCACGTCATTAGTGATACTGCCGTGACCATAGCCCCCGGCCGTCACGTACCCGCTTCCGTCAGTCTGACGGCTAGCCGTCACGTCGCAGCCGCTACTGCTGCTACTGGAGCAAACGGCGTCCGACAAGCTGCTCCCCGCGCTGCTCCGACTCGCGCCGCTGCTGGCGCCGGGCATTGCGGCGCCTAAGCCGCGCGCGCCAGATCCGGTGGCCCGACTGTAGGAACCAGTGCCGCGGCTCGCGTAGTTAAAGAGGCTTGCGGACGAACGCGATGCGGACCAAACAGGCGGAGGAAGCTCCACGTGGTCGATTCTTACTGGTGCGTTTGCGACAGGCAGATGCGGCTTGCCGACCACAGCGTGAAATGCGGAGGGCAGGAGTTCCGACTCCGGCTCGAACGGCGACTCGTACGGTCGCGTGCCTTCGCCGCGCCACGTGGCAAAAGTTAACTGGCGCTGCTTTTGCAGGAGGAGAATCTGCTGCTCGCGAAGTTTCCTCGCTTGTTCCGCGTCGAACGCCTCCTGCTCCTGCTTCTGTCGCAGCTGCTGAATCTCCTGCGACTCCTCGACTCGCATCGCACGCAGTCGCTGTCGCATGTCGCTCAGGTCCTTGCTGAAGTCGCCAATCTCCGTGCGACGTCGCTCGCGCTCGCCGCGATCTTCGAGGTAGAACTCCGCCGGCGACGGGCGGCCCCGTCGCCTCTCGCCATAAGGCGCGTGGGAATACATGCCTTGAGGAATATATCTCTGAATGCGTCGAAACGTGGTATACTGAAGATGTCTCAAAGTCCGTGGGCGTGCATCTCCGTTCGGGCTCGGGACTTTTCAAGCAGACAAGTCGTTATACACTAGAGGATGTCAAAATGCTGATGGGCTTCTGTTGAGTTTACACAGCCAACATACCGCAAGTTGGGGAGGCAGGACACTACACAGAACCGTCACTCACAAGGGATGGAGCAGAGAAATCAAGAAGGCGAAATTGATACACCCAACCCAAGTATTGGATGGCAATCATGGAGCCTGCCTGTACGAGTGGGTGGGGGGAGAGGAGATTGAGGATGGGATGGGAGGGAGGAGCAAGGGGGGGGGCGCGGGCGAGTATCGGGGCAGAATTGAGGAGATGGACGGAGATGGAGCGGAGGGGATGTGGGGCTTGAACCCCGAAGCGCGCCCTCGACATTGAATTCGCGGCGCGTCAAGGACGCTTGCTGTGCTGTAATCGCAGGCGTCTCGCATTTCGAGTCGCTCTCCACGTCACCGGGGCTCTGGATGTGGGGGGACGTGCGTGACGAAACCCTTGTGATAATACGCACCACGACAGAAACGAGGTGCTGTGAATGATTTCGTCGATACACGAAACCGTATTGTTTTCGGAAGACGCTTATGGTACAAAATGCTAAGTAGCCAAATCTCTCTTATAACTCACATGGATTTCCTCACTGTACATATCGTGTATGCATTTATTTGTCATTTCTTCCTCAACATAGAGAAATTGCTGTCTTTAATACTCCCTGTAACAGTACACGAAGGCTTTTGAAAATTAAGGAGCAACTAACACCACCCGAACTACCGTATACACACATGGTGAGCAAAAAAACCGTTCAACCAGAGACCGGGTAAGCTTCATAGCCTTACTACAAGCTCAGGCGCGACCTTACTACAGCCTACCTCCATCCTTCCCTCACAGAATAAGCTTCGCCTCGCCCGCCTTATACTCCGGCGTATCCCACAGCAGGTGCTGCTCCTGGTCCGGCCCTCCCAGCAGCCAGCTCGCGAACCCACCACCGGCCTTCTTGCCCTCACTCTTTTTCCCCTCACTCCCCTCACTCTTCACAGCACTCTCGTACGTCTCCATTCGCCCGCTCTTCCCGCCGCCATTCGCGCCGTAGAACGTCACCCCAGAAGCGACTTGTTGAGCCTGAGGCTGCCGCTTAGGGCCCAACGCTGAAGGAGCGACGGCGGAGTAACTCCACATGTTGCCACCTGGAGGGCAACCCGGGTTACCAGCAGCCGGTACAGCTGATTTAGCTCCAGAGTTGTCCGTTTTTTCAGGATTTTCGCGCCATGACATGGGTTCTGATGTTGACGTTAGCTCGCGGTAAAGCCTCAGGCCGCGGAAGTCCAGCTTGGCTTCGTGGCGCGCCTCCTCCTCCCGCTGCCGCTGCATGCGCTCGAGCTCCTGCGAAAGGTACACGTCGTCCTCTTGCACCTCGCGAAATCGCTGGCGAATGGAGTTGAAGTCGTTGGACATCGCGGTGAACTTCGCACGACGTCGCTCCTGATCGTGCGGGTCGGCGGCGGTTTCTATGTACCGCGCGACGGCGCGAGGCCCTGCGCGGGAAGGACGAGGATGATACATGGCTGTGAGCGTTCGGAAGCCCTACGGATTTTTCTTACTGACGTCGTAGATGTACTATGGAGGTACGAAATTCCTGAGGCGGCAAGGCGTTTTCTCTTCTGAACCACGCTAGCGTTGTGAAATGAGCCAAACCAGACGAGCTGCGAGCAAAACTCAACTCAAGTCCACGGAGCTGCTACGGTAGTAGTTGAGACTCGTGATATGAGTGCAGCACAACCGAGCCATGAGCAGCCAGCATCCGTCCCGTCCCAGTTGCCGAAACAATCCCCCGTCGCACTTGGCTTTGCAATGTCGAAGGGAAATGACTCGTCCTCACCTAGAAACAGAAATGTGCACCTAACGAGTGCGACGCGAGATCCACCCTGGGAACCCACCGAATCGGCCATGCGGTACGGAACTTTGGTAGTGAGAGTCCACCATTACACTACACCTTTCCTCCTATCTAGTCCTACTTTCTTTGCACGCGGCTTGAGCCTGTAAGCAGGAAATGGTAAAACAAGGGCAAACGAAACCTTGAAGGGGACAACCCACAATAAGCACTGCACACTTGGTTACAAAATCTCGCTCATGCACTAGACTAGTTGCTTGCACGACGTCCCAACTCATAAACTCGCAATTGTCAAAATACGACTTGGTTGTTCGCTATCGTTCATACTACAGCCAATCAGGTTCAGTGTCAACACGAGTCATGCTGGGAACGAGGTAGGTGGGATTGCAATTTGGACTGTTCCGGGTGGGAGGTAGGGTCATGATGCATGTTATGTAAGGATTTCACGAATCCTTTCTGGGGCTCGCCACAACGAGTGCTGCGAACAGTGCGCGTCCGCAGCCTCGGCCCTCAAGTCTCGCGTTAAAACACCCCTGTCGATCTATTCGGCCCCGAACGTATGACCTAGGCGCCCCGAACCCAATTTTACCCCGTCGCCCACGGGACCAGGCCTGTCGATTCAAGGGCAAATGCCCTTAATGCCCTGAACATTCCGGGTAATCCGTCCGTCAGGGTTTGACTTTTACGGGTTTGATTCGGGACTAGCCCGTAATGGTTAAGGGTTTCGTTCGGCCCTTTCCCGGATTCGTTCAGGGCGGAGTTGAGGCTTTTCCCTGATTTTCCGTAACAGGGTCTAGACATACCCTGACCTAGGCATACCTTCCTTGCCCACCCACACCACCCCACCTTCCTCTTCGGCTAGTATAATTTGGCTAAGTCCTCCAAACCAGAGACATCCCTCCCTTATCCCAACCGAACTCAGAAAATTCCTCAAAGTCCCTCACACCTAGAGACATTCCTCCCACACCCCTCGCACCCCCAGAGAATCCCCCCAGCCAGAAAATTCCTCTCTAAGTCCTCCAAACCAGAGACATTCTTCCCACACCCCAACCAAACATAGGAAAGTCGATGAAGTCCCCCACCCCCACAGACATTCCTCCCACCCCCCTCGCACCCCCAGAGAATTCGACAAGCCCCCACAGCCCGAGACAACACTCCAACATCCCCTCCTCCCACACCCCCACTTCCCCCTCCCCCATCTCCACGGATTTTTTCAAAAAAAAAAAAAAAAAAAAAAAAATGTCGTCTCCAAAGCGAGTCACAAGCCCCTCCCACACACTCCCGCATCCCAGGAACTAGCCAAGTCCGTGACACCTATGAATAACTGAGAAATGTGCACTACTAACACATTTGGCACACAAATTCTCCTGTGAAAATAGGCTGGCCTCCCCACTCAGCATCTTGCCTAACCTGATGTACGATTACGAAGTTTTTTTCTCTCTCTCCAGCAAAGTACGGACTCCGACGCAGCCCTGATTTTAAGTTCCGGTTTGGACCCCAGCCCGCACGCTTCAGGGCTCGGTTTGGTCACTTTCCGGAAATTTCATGGCTGTTTTCGGGGGACCTCAGCCACTCAAGTATTGGTCCCAAACCAATCGACAGCCCTGCACGGGACTACCGAGCCCTTGACTGGTCCAACTCTCAAGGTTCAACCTGGTCAACTTGCACTATATAAGCCCTAGGCCTCATTTCGATAGGACAGTCAAAACATTCTGTAGTCACGCTCCCCTATAGACTTTTGCGCTATACTCTGAGTTATATTTCATAACAGCTGGTATCGGAGCCACGATTATGCCCATCTAGGTTCCGATAGGGGAGCAGTCCCTATCGGGGAAGGGGGCGGAAGGATGCTGGTGGCGTAGCGTTTCCGATGCCGCCGGATCCTGTCTGATGGACGGCTGGGATTAGCTGGTCCTCCCCTTCCCAGAGCGTAGACGGAATTATTTTCCGTCGAAGAGATGACAACGTTTTCGTCTGAGTTTTCGGGTATGTTCGCAAGTGTTTCATAATTTTCAGAGGTTCGGACGGAGTTTTACGATTGGCTTCCGAAAATTGCGAGGAGTCGTCAGGAGAAGACGGACGCACTGGAATCCTCGGGCGGCCGGGAGATGGTAGTCAGGAGCGCACAAAAGGGCAAAAATGACGGGACGTACAGCGATGTACGTCTGTCGTGCCATGTAGCTGCATAGTGAAGTGCAGTTGCGTCCCTAGCATCGGCGTTTCCAGCAGGCTAGTTGCAGGCGATGGACAGGACTTCACAAGCTATAGCGGCAAGGGGCGGCTACGATTATTTCCCACTGCCACCATCGCACAGTCACACGAATGGGTGAGCCAGACAGCAGCAGCACGAGGCTAACTACATCGGCTGTTCTGCATGGGCTGTCTCATTTGGAGGATGAAGCGGCTCCGGAATCTTTTCAGCGAGGGCGACTTCCTGAGTTGGGGAGGCGTTTTTATGGAGCATTGTTCATACCCCCTATGATGAATGGAAACAGAGGCCACCACATAAGGGTGTGTATTAAGTGTTTTCCACCGTGGCGCCGCAAGCGTCAAACCGTAAAGAGCTGAAGTAGTTGAAGTAAAACGGCTGGAAGAAGCTGGATTTTAGTTAAATGCCAGGCAACATACGGATCCCCCGCTGACAGAGCTTCGTCGCCATAAGATCACCATTCCCACAATGTCGTAGTATCGACTATGGGTCATCCACACATGGTTAAAGGGGAGTGAACGTGCAATCTATACAGTGCTGAGGGGTGTCCACAAAAATTTAGAAGTTACTGTTGTGGTGGAGCTGAGGGTTTTACCTGGTGCAACAGAAGAAGTTTCCGACTTTTGCGGGTGTAAGGTTCTGAGTATCTCACCCTGGCACGTCGGGAGGCAGTAGGTGTCCAGCGGTCGTGCGGGGACTTCTTTAGTCCATCCGACTTTGTCGTGTGCCCTTCACGCCTCTGACGGTGCATGTTTTAGCGGAGTTAGTTATACAGCAGCGAAGCAATTGGATAACCTGCAGCAGCCGCGAGATGGGTGAACGTCTAACGGCCAGTTGGTTAGGGGTACAGCTTGGTTACAGTTGGAGGAGTTCGACACTATTCCCTAAGTTTTTGGAGTGCGGCTATGCGGAAGGGAGCTGACCCTGATTACGCGGGCTACTTCGACGCGCGATAATGCCTAGGGCCTATTGTGGTATCAAGGCGAGCGCAATGATGGGTGAACGTCGGCGCGCTGCTAAACACTTGGTGCCTGGTGGTGAATTCTTTGAAAACCAGCGGCGCAACTGTTAAGCACCTGAAAGTCAGGGGCACCAAAAGTATATTACGGGTTTGGGTTACACCTGTGAGGAGATCGACAGCGTATGATGCTCGCCAGCCATGATCGACGGCCGAAGACCCATGCTTGGGCGGTGAACAATGATTACCCTTGATTAAAGGGTTCAGTTCATGCATACAGCTAATGACGGGCCGATGGGGGTGCAGCTAAAGGACGGCGCATCAAGGATTTACGCGTAGCTGTGAAGCACGTGCAGCTATGAAGCGGAGTTGCAGTATTTGTTAAGTCTCGGGTAGTTCCGACATTTTCGCTGGAGGAGGAGCAGGTTTTTACAGTTGGAGTTGTGCCCGCTATCTTCAGGGGTACGAGCAACATCGACCGTGATTATCGGAATGTTTTGGTTGTATGGAGGGGAAGGAGAGCAGCAGCTGTTTCATTTCTTCCCGAATATCTCGGCGTGTACGGACAAAGTAGCTGATGCAGCTCGCGGCATTTTTCTCTGGGTTCTGTTCGAGGTTTTTTACTGGAGTGGTTCAATACACGTTGCAGGTCATCATCATCGTCGTCTTCCTCTCGTCACCACCCGCTACCACCTCTATCCTCAATTCACTTGATTGTGTGAACACGACCCCGCGTTGTCATCCGAGTCGACAAGCAGCAGTATCGGATTTATATGAGATTTGGCAGCTGGGAGTATCAGCACCTATTGGAGTTGTGTTGGGGCCAACTCGCAAGCGGTGTGTTGACTCATAAAGAATATTTGAAGCTCATAGGCGTCTACTCGGGCAGTTGTTGTTGTTTTTCAAGACCCTGGGAGAGGTTTACCCTAACGAAGAAATTTACTAAGAGCGGATTTCGGGATTATCATAGTTGGGGTTCTTCACCGGCATCTTCGAAGTTGACTTGTACAGGAATTTAAGCAGCAGTATGGGTATTTCTACTACCGTGGAGCATTGGGTTTCCTAGAGTTTACCTGTTCTTGGAGGGGGGGAGAGGTGTAGCTGTCGTGGCACTGGGATAGCCCTGTCGAGCCAACTCTCTCTCTAGGGAGGGTACTAGGTAGGCTTTCCTTGAGGAAGGTGCATAAATGGAGCCTAACTCTCTTGAGGATATCCCTTCTAGTCTCAATGGTTAGGACTGGTGACTTTATGACTTGGTATTAGAGCGATCCATGGTTCAATTCCTGGTGTACACGCTATCCCAGCGGGGGGGGGGAGGGGGGGGGGGGGGGTGTCGTGGCACTGGGATAGCCCTGTCGAACCTCCTCTCTCTCTAGGGAGGGTACTAGGGAGGCTTTCCTTGGGGAATGTGGATATATGGAGCCTAAATCTCATGAGGATATCCCTTCTTGTCCTAGTGGTTAGGACTGGTCACTTAATGACTACAGCTGCGCTGCAGATTTCGTTTGAACCTTCCGACGTGTTCCATCATCCATTTGCGATCTATATTCATCACCGTTACACTTCGTGCTCTCGCATGTATTACGAACGACCTCGCGTTTGGTGAACGGATTTTCATTTCGACCATCCACGTCATTTGGCAGTCATCATTTGAAGACATTCATCCTGC